TCTGACACTCGGTTAATTCGGTCAAGTCTTAGCCAATGCATCCTCCATGCATTTTACTTGATAGAAACCTCGGACGAGTCGTCTTCTTTAGTTTGCTCCTCGACAATGGCCTGTTTCGGCTCAAGTTCGGGCATCTGCCAGATGAAAATTGCTCCATCCTCACTGGCTGTTACGATTAGACGCTCATCAGGGGAGATTCTGAGTCGCGTTATTGGTGAAGTGTGTCCCAGGCCTACATGAGTAACGTCACCTTCGTTGTACTTCCATAGCTAAGGGAATTAAAATGAATATCGTGAAAATTGAATAGCAATTGGTTGGCATAAGATTCCAATCTTTGCTTTCTCAATTTTATACTGGGACAAATAAATGGACAAGGTCGTCAGCTCGTTTCTGATCATATTTTGCCAAAGTAATTGCATTTATTCATATATTCTTCAATTTTTTGTATATCACAAATTAGAATAGAAATTAATCGTATTGCGTAAAATAAATCTATGCAATTTTTATTATTTTCCGAGTTTATTTATGGCAATAGTCAGCAAATTAACGAGATTTTTAAAATATTAATGTCGACGATTTATCCGCCCACCTAAAATCCCTTAGATTCCTAGATTACATCCATATTTTCGAGCATGTCCAGGCCGGTCAAAGATCAGGACTACATATCATGAACTGGAGACACTTCCTCGATGTATGATCTGCGGAAATCCCTACTCGGTAGTCTATAGTTCTTAATTTTGCAGAGATAAGCTCCAGCTCTGATCATTTCTTTCCCATGCTGAAAACAAGCATAGCCATGTTTCATTCGAAACCAGAGAGGATATCTGGTGAATTGCGTCAACCTGAATGTTGTATTAAAGCTAATTGGCTGCAGAACAACGGAGATCGACCGTCGTCTTCCGGTGAGATAAATGTAAATTCAAGGTCTTAATTTAAAGCCTGGCTTTTTCCTACCTATATTCTATAATTTATTTGTTCTATTAGAAATATTAAAATAAGAAATGCGCCTTTCTTCTATACGCGACTATTATTATCTCTTCCTCAAATTTTATAGATGAAAGCACGAAATAATGAGGCATCAAGCCTTTACTGATCCTGTTCATATTTTCCCTCTAAAGGTGCTTCCCTTATTCTAGCAATGATAGTTGCTACCATTTTTTATATTTTGACATTTTCTGCATTCGTAGTACAGTACGTTGTGAGTCTTAACACATTAAATTCTTCTCCATAGTAATGCTTTTAAAAGAAACTCAAGTTAATGCCAGTATCCAGGGCTTCCATTGTATGTCTAATTTAGCATGACATGCCTCTAAGATCAGGGAGGTTGTGAGCGTCTTCTTTCGAAGAAACCTGATAAGCAGGAAATTAGAAGAGGAAGGAGTTAGCGATAATTTCTCGTATTGCCTATGCAGACTTGGAGATTCAGCGAAGACTTAAAAAGAGGACGCTTGGACTCAGGACAATTGTTTAAAAAGAGAAAGAGACATCGCCAAGGAGCGGCTTATGAGGGACAAAGAAAAGTCAAGAAAATGTGATTGCAGTGAGCAGTCAAACCTGGAATCGGTCAAAAATTTATCCGGAGTGGCCCACCTGTGGAATGTGGGATAGAAAATTAGAGGCTAAAGGTATAGGTGGGTTATGTGTAGATCATCAGTGTGTGTTTGTGTATTTGTGTGCATTCTTCGCGTGCGTGCCTTAATTAGAGCTGATTGGTGACACTTGCCCTTGGGGGATATGAACCAACACACATTTGAACAACGTACT